CTCATGCATGGTAGGTGAGCGCTCTACCTCTGAGCCACAACCCCAACCCCCTTATAGTAGTTCTTGAATTTGAGTAGTGTCCGTTTTCCAAATTTGCTCTTCTCTAATACTGTATTGGTTATTCAGGATCATTTGGCTCTCCATATAAATTTTACAATTGGTTTGTTGATTTCCACACAAAACATGTTAAGGTTTTGATTAGGTTTATGTTGACTCTCTAGGTCAGAATGGGAAAACTGATATCTTGACAATATTGAGCTTTCTTATTTGTGAAAATGGATTGTCTCTGCATTTATTCCATTTTTCTTTGATTTTTAAAATTAGCATGTAAAGTTTCCTGATATACATTTTATTGCCACCCCCCCCCTTTGTGGTGTGGAAAATTGAACCCAGAATCTCATGAACACTAGACAAGCGTTCTAACCACTGAGATACACTCCCAGCCTCCTTCCCTTTTTAAGGTATGTATATTGAAAGACATGTATGCACTGACTGCAAATTGACTGTGTTTTTTTCCAGTTATTACTTTATTACTCTTCTTACTTAACATGGTAAATAAAACATAACCAAGGTATTGATGAATTTTGAAGTTTCCAATAATACCAATTAGGTGGTGATGATTCATCTATAAATGGTAGCAACTTTTGATCAAGAACAACTCAAAATTTATAGCTCATCCCCAACAATGGCCATCACAAATTATCCCAGCATTGATAGTTAAAGCACTTCACAATTATATATCTCTTTTGTGAAGCTAGAAAGTCAGGTGAAATAATTTTTAAAAATTTTTTTAGTTGCTGATAGACCTTTATTTTTATTTATTTATATGCAATGCTGAGAATCAAACCCAGTGCCTCACACAGGCCAGGCAAGTAAGTGCATTACCAATGGGCCACAGCACCAGCCCGTTAATATATGTGTATTTAATTAGAGAAAGGGTCTTGCTAAGTTGCTTTGTGCCTCTCTAATTTGCGAAGGCTGGCTTTGAATTCCAGATCCTCCTACCTCAGCCTCCCTAGCCGCTGGCATTATAAGCATGCACCACCATGTCCTGTGGAGAAATGAGATTATTTAAGGTTACTTAAGATACCATCAGTACGACCAATGTGGCAGTATCTGAGTGCTGTTCATTGTGATTTTCCACAGAGCAGTAGTTCTCAACCTTGGCAGCACACTGAAATCACTAAGGGAGCTTTTTTTTTTTTTTTTTTTTTTTCATATTTACTTTTTAGTTGTAGGTAGATACCCAATATCTCTATTCCATTTTTTTTTTTTTTAATGTAGTGCTGAGGATTGAACCCAGTGCCTCATGCGTGCTAGGCAAACTCTCTACCACTGAGCCACAAACCCAGCCCCACTAAGGGAGTTTTAACAATACCAACAGGTTACCACCTCCAAAGATGGTAGTTATAACTGGTCTGAAATGTGGCCTAGTGAATGGAATTCTAGAAGATTCCTTAATGGTTCTCATGTGCAGTCAAGGTTGAGAAGCACTGCCATGGAGAAAAAAAGAATATCTGACAAGTTCTGAAATATTTACTAAATGCCCATTTTAAAAGTTTAGAATTAGGCCAGTTCAGACAAGTGATGTTGACAAATGTCTAGAATAGCTAAGATAGTCTTAGAGGTAGTATTTAGGGTATATTCTTATTACTAATTTTAGGTTTCTAAGGGCCATGATGTTAAGGTTAACATAAGTAAACAATCATGCAGAAATAATTCCAAAAAAAATGGGTGGGTAATCCCAGCTACTCAAGAGGCGGAGGCAGTAGGATTACAAATTGGAGAGCAGCCTGGGCAATTTAGCGAGACCCTGTCTCAAAAGAAAATTTGGGTGGGTGGGAGGGTACTGGAGATCGAAGCCAGGGGAACTTATCACCAAGCTATATCTCCAGACTTTTCTTTTCTCTCTCTCTCTCTCTCTCTCTCTTTCTTTCTTTCTTTCATCCTTCCTTCCTTCCTTCCTTTCTCTTTCTCTCTTTTTTTCTTTCCTTCCTTCCTTCTTTCCTCCCTCCCTCCCTCCCTCCCTCCCTCCCTTCCTTCCTTCCTTTCTTCCTTCCTTCTTTCTCTCCTTCTCCTGTTCCTCCTCCTCCTCCTCCTCCTCCTCCTTCTTTTTCTTCTTCTTTTTTTAATCTTGAAACAGAGTCTCACTAAATTGCAGAGGGCCTTGCTTACTTGCTGAGACTGGCCTCCAATTTGCACTTCTCCTGCCTTAGCCTGCGCAGTCACTGGGATTATAGGCATGCACCACCATACCTGGCTCCCTGTCTCAAAATTAAAAATTAAAAAGATTGGGGATAGGTCTCAGTGGTATGAGCCTGAGTAAAATGACCTAGCATGAATAAAGCCCTAGTTTAGATGCCCAGTACCACACACAAACACACAAGAAACAAAACAAAATAAAACACTGTTAAAAGAATGGAAACCCAAACCACAGATTCAAATAAAATATTTGCAAAGTACAATTATAATTAAAGGTTATATCTAGAATTTGTTGAGAACAATTAAACACCACAATTAAAATATGGGCAAAAGCTGTGAACAGTTCACCAAAGAAGATATATTAATGAAAAGATGCTCAATATCATTAGTCCTTAAGAAAATTAAAATAAAAATGAATTAGCAGGCACACCTATCAAAGTGGATAAAAGACTAACAATGCTAACTATTAGCAACAAAGTGAAAAAAGCAATATTTTCCTGCACTTCTGGTAATGTGAAGTATACTATCCACTTTAGAAACTGTCAATCTAATTAACAATCAGAGATTTTCCAAAGAATAAATATTTGTTTGGGAATGACAGAACATTGAATGGGAATACTCATGCCACTGTGAATTATGGACATATTCAAGGAGGCTGAAGCAAGATGTTTCTAAAGGCAAAAAGAAAATTTTACATAAGTTACATGGATACAGGGTTCTTGGTTTTGGAAACCCCACTCAGGAGTTGGTGTCAGTTCATTGGTAGAAGTGCTATTACTGGGCAATTGATCTGTCAAAAGCATCTTGTCTAGGGCTGGGGCTGTAGCTCTGTGGCAGAGTGCTTGCCTCACATATATTAGGCACTGGGTTTGATCCTCAGCACCATATAAAAATAAACAAATAAAATAAAGGTATGCTGTCCATCTACAACTACAAATTTTTTTTTTAAAAAAAGCATCTTGTCTAAATTGTTGTAGTCTTTAAGAATGTTAAAGATAGACTTTGTTAAATCTGTGCATATGTGTGAAGCATGTAAAGCATGGGGTGCTTGTACAATGAGAAGGAATTTCTTGTGGGTCGTTAGAATATCCTTGAAAAAGTACTTATCTGAAACAGTCAGGCATTAGCCCTCACACTTCATTATGTCTCAGCTTGAATTTTGTCTGGGTCTGATAAGAATGATTTCATCTTGGTGTTATTAACTTTCTCCAAACTAACTAGGCAATTTCTTAGAAGTCAAACACATACCTTCTATATGGTCCTGCCATCCCAGTCCATCAGGGGAGATGAAAGTATATATTCAAAGAAAGTACATAACAAAGATTTCTATAAAAATGTGCACAGAAACTTTATGTAATTACAAAACATGTAAATAACACAAATATCTACCAACAAATAATGGATAAACAGAGTGTAGTAAATCCATACTATGAAATATTACTCCACAATGAAAAACAGTGGATTGTTGATATGCTCTACCTTGTGTACCTCTAAAATAATTATGCTGAGTCAAAGAAGCAGGGCATAAAAGATTATAGACTTATGATTTAATTTTCACAAAATTCTAAGGTATAAATTAATATATATTGACCAGAGAGCAGGGCAGTGGTTATCTTGGAGAGGGTAGGAAAGAGATAGAAAGCAATGTTACAAAAGGGTACAAGGAGACTTTTGTCATTCCCAAAAGATAGATATATAGTGGTGTATTGTGTATATACACCCATGTACTTACAATATGGTACGCTTTGAAAGTTTATTACATATCAAGTGTACCTCAATAAAGCTATTTAAAATTCAACTATAATTATTTGGTGAGATTTCAGGGTGTAGAAGAGAAATGTGGTTAATTTACCATAATTAACAGAAAATCCAATTATCTAACTTTTCAGAAAATCTTATTCTTGCCAGTCATGGTGGCACACACCAGCAACTCAGGAGGCTGAGGCAGGAAGATCACAAATTTGAGATCAACCTGGGCAACTCAGAAAGACCCTGTCTCAAAGTAACAAATTTAAAAAGGGCTGGGGATGTAACTCAGTGATAGAATGCTCCTGAATTCAATCCTCAGTACCAATAAGTAAATAAATAATTTTAAAAATTAAAAATTCTGTTCTCATTTCAAAAATCATTCTCAGCTGGGTGCAGTGGTACATGCCTTTAATCCCAGTGGTTTGGGAGGCTGAGGCAGGATGATCACAAGTTCAAAGCCAACCTCAGCAACTTAACGAGGCCCTAAGCAACTTAGTGAGACCCTATCTCAAAATAAAAAATAAAAAGAGCTAGGGATGTGGCTCATTCTCATTTTCTTTATCAGTCATTAATATTTTTGTTCACTTATGTCCTATCTTGTTTTCTAATCTAAGTAAGTTCTGGGTTGGCACAAGGGCACAAGGAAACTTTTGTCTTTTAGGGATGGGTCCCAATGCAAAGAATTACCAAAGGTGGTTGGAATGTTATTGCCTAAGGATTAATTTCTCAGTTGAATCAGGTACAGATCTGTCCCTGAAGCAAGAGAACAGACTAAGCAATGTTCCAGGTTCTTTTTGACAGATTCATTAAATAGTCATATTATTACTGGTTAATCTTAAAAATAAAGGAGGCAGGTAAATGAGATAGTGGGTCTTGGCATTTGAAAATTCATATGTACTCCCACTTCTGTCCCTTATCCAAATCACAGTTATATCTGAAACAGACCTTGATTCTACAGTCTCTGGGATGGGTGGAGTGAGCATGAAATGATGTGCACATGTAAAATATGCCTAAGACATGTGAAAACATGTCAGAGGCACACCTATACCATGATTGATGGATGTAAATTTGAATTTTTTTCCTTAGAATTGCTGTAATCATGCATCACTTCTTTTAATAAAAGGAGCCTCTGGTTTTACCAGTTACATTTTACTTAAACCCCATTAGGCAGATAATGTTTTCAGTTTAAAATGTTTTTGTTTTCATAGTGAGTAGGAGAGTCCCAAAATGACCAGGAAATTTTCCAGAGTATAATTTAGAAAGAGAAACTCCCAGATCTCAAAAATAGAAACCAGAAGTCTTCAGGCTGGAATAGCACCTTACAAATGAAGTGAAGCAATTTATTAAGTTATCAAAGGGGACTGAGATTGTGGCTCAGTGGTAGAGCACTCACTTAGCACGTGTGAGGCCCTGGGTTCGATCCTCAGCACCACATAAAAATAAATAAAATAAAGGTACTGTGTCCAACTACAACTAAAAAATAAATATTAAAAAAAAAAGTTGTCAAAGGAATCAGGAAGGAAAAGAAAGGAAGAAAATTGGAGAAAATGAGCTCCTTAAGTGTAGATATACAAATGATCAATAGTACATGAAAAAATGTTCAGCACAATCAGTCATTAGGAAAATGCAAATTCAAACCACAAGATACTACTTCACCTGTACTAGGATGATTAAAATCAAAATGTCAGATATTAACAAGTGCTGAAAATATGAGCTAGTCACAAAAGACCACATATTGTATGATTCTGCTTATATGAAATGTCCAGAAGAGACATTTCTGTCTATAGAAAGCTAATTATTATTTTTTAATTTTTACTCCTGGGGATTGAACGAAAGGGTGCTTAACCATTGAGCCACATTCCCAGCCCCTTTCTTTAATCTTTTATTTTGAGACAAGGTCTCACTAAGTTCCTTAGGACCTTATAAAGTTGCTGAGGCTGTGGGGGCTGGGGTTGTGGCTCAGTGGTAGAGTGCTCACCTACCTAGCATGTGAGGGACCCTGGGTTCAATCCTCAGCACCACATACAAACAAAATAAAGAGGGGCTGGGATTGTGGCTCAAAGGTAGAACACTCGCCTCGCATGCATGAGGCACTGGGTTGGATCCTCAGCACCACATAATTATAAAATAAAGACGTTGTGTCCACCTATAACTAAAAAATAAATATAAAAAAATAAAATAAAGATATTGTTTCAACTACAACTAAAAAAAAAAAAAGTTGCTGAGGCTGGCCTTGAATTTACCATCCTCCTGAGATTACAAGCGTGTGCCACTGCCTGGCCAGAAAGCTGATTACTCATTTTTCAGGGCTGGGGAGGAGTGGAAGGATCAGAGAGTGGTAGCTAAAAACTACAGGGCTTTTTAGGGGGTGATAAAAATGTTCTAAAATTGTTTGCAATGATGATTGCACATTTATTAAAAATTGTTGAATTGTATACTTTAAGTGTGTGAATTATATAGTAAGTTGTTATTTTTAAGATCACATATTGTATGATTGCATTTATATGAAATGTCCACTCAAATCCATAGAGAGAAACAGTAGTTTAGTGTTTGACAGGGAAAGAATAGCAGAAAAGGGAATTGAGAGAGATGGTTCAAAGGTGTGGAATTTCATTTTGAGGAGATTTAAACATTCTGGAATTAGAGAGTAATGATGATTGCCCAACTTGTGAATATACCAAACACCACTGTTGGCACCCTTAAAATAGTGAACTTTATGTTATATGAATTTCGTTTCAATAATGAATTATATCTTTTTTTGAGATACTGAAGAAGTTTAAAGATCGTATACACTTCTGTCTAAGGTGAGCTCATTAAGTAACTGAGTTATTCATTAAATTGGATTGACATATCCCAAAAAATCTAAGTAAAAGCTATGTAGTTTTCCTAGTTTTTCACTGCTCTCCCTTACAGTGATTATAATACATCATTCTATATTCTTTAAATGACCATGCTTATTTAAGGAAGAGTAAAAACTTAATCTCTATTCTAGAGCATGTTTAATTAATGTGATTATGTCAAATCTGAGGCAGTTTTTAAAATAATTTATGGGACATTAAAGAAACTTTAATGGTTATAATTTTCAGATTTATTTGGCCTAAAGACTGACTTATTTTCTACATACATATATGTTCAAAAATGGAAGAACAAATTATGGTAATTTTTGGCTTTGGAGTCCTTCCCTTGGTTCACATCATAACAAAGCTCTTTTTACAGTTTGGACAAAGATCACTTTGGAGTGATTCAATGTCAAATTGATACTAAGTTACAAGTATTATAGTTTTATTACAGCTAACACGGAGTGACACATAATGGCAGTATAGTTCTAAATAATTAGATGGTAGAAGTTATTATTATGTTTTTTTCTTTAATAAAGCTTTTTGTCTGATGATTGTGTATATTTAAACCTATGCGGCTGTTTGATGGACTGTTATTGTTTTAGAAACTTTTTAAAAATATGTATTTTTAGTTGTTGACGGATTTTTATTTTATTTGCTTATTTATATGTGGTGCTGGGAATCGAACCCAGTGCCTCACACATAGGAGACAAGCGCTCTACCACTGAGTTACAACTTCAGCCCATTTTAGAAACGTTTTGAAGTTTCTACCTTTATAGGTAGGGAACACTTGGAAGTTCCTTACAGTTTTGAGTAAGAAATGCATTTACTGAATTAAAAAATGTTATATTTAAATCCCAATGACTTGGGGAGCTGAGCCAGGAGGATCCTAAGTTTGAGGCCAGCCTCAGCAACTTAGCAAGGCCCTAAGCAACTTAGGAAGACCCTGTCTCAAAGTGAAAAATGTCCTAAGAATATAATTGAATAATTTGGGTATGATGGTACATGCCTGTAATCACAGTGACTTGGGAGGCTGAGGCAGGAAGGTCACAAGTTCAAGGCCAGCCTCAGCAACTTAGCAAGCCCCTAAGCAACTTAGTGAGACCCTGTTTCAAAAAAATTTTTTTTTTTAAAAAAGGGGGTGCTGTGGAGCCAGCAAGCATGACCCGCAAGATGGAGACAGAATTGGGATTAATGAGATTCAGCAATTCTATGACGATCTGAGGCTGGACCCCACCAGCATCAGCGTTCTGGTCATAGCATCGAAGTTCAGGGCTGCCACTCAGTGTGAATTCAGCAGGAAGGAATTCATGGACACATGACAGAGCTGGGGTGTGACAGCACCGAGAAGCTGAAAACCTTTCTGCCCAGCCTAGAGCAAGAGCTGCAGGACTCCGTGAAGTTCAAGGACTTCTACCAGTTTACCTTCACCTTTTCTAAGAACCCTGGGCAAAAGGGCCTAGGTTCAGCTCCATTTCCCAATGGGAGAGCTTGTCCTCACTAAGACTAGTAGAATGTAGACCTCACTTAGGGTTCTTCCTAAGTGGTGAGGATGTAGGCTTATGAACAGGACGAGATAATCAACTTAGCATTACCCTGCGAGTCCCCTAGATTTAGAAATGGCTGTTGCATATTGGAAATTAGTGTTTTGGGGAAGGTTTAAATTTTTAGATCTTTGGAACAACACATTCCTGCTGGAACATCACAAAAGATCAATTCCACGGGACACTTGGAACCTTCCGCTAGATTTTGGAAACATGATTGCAGATGATATGTCTAACTACGATGAAGAAGGAGCATGGCCTGTCCTCATCGATGACTTTGTGGATTACACATGGCCAGTGCTCACAGGTGAAAACACACCTGAAGGTGAAGCTAGATCCAGAGCCAGCCTACATCCTGCAGGGCACACTAGGGTGGTGCTGTGTGCTTTGCTGCCAGTCTCGTGCAGGGGTCGGCATGCTTGGTGTAGCTGCTGCTTTAGGAGATTGCTATCTGATGCAGGTTCAAGGTGAACATCAGCAGTTACCAAATCGCACCCCAGTCACATTGTGATCACAGTATAGAGCTGTGTCTGTCCTGGGATGATGTGGTTATGTGCATGTCAGATGGCCAGTGCCAGGATGCAGGCTCACCTAGGGACCCAGCGCTGTTCCTCCTGGGGTTGTGCTGTCTCTCTGGTTTGGATATTTGTTCTCTCAGGATGTTTATCTGAAACCCATTTTATATTTAAGGCCCGGTTGCAGTCTGCAGTGGTGGCGTGTGTGGGCATGACTCCAGCAAGATCAGTCTGTTGTCCTTTTAACAATGCTATTTCAACTTCCTGAGAAGTTCCGTACTTTTAATATATTTTATTTAAAAAGACATTTTTCCATTTTCCTTTTTGAGTGGTGAATTACAAATTTAAAATCAAATGCACTTGTCCCTTTCACCTGTCTGCAGTCCCACAGTGCCCAGGGTCTGGCCCTTCTTACAGCCATCCTCTAGTGGAAGCAAAGCCCACTCCTGGAACCCTCATCTCTTTTGCAAGCTGCAGCCTGAGTTTAACGCCCTCTCACTGGCTGCTCATGAGTCAGCCTGGCCTAGAGCCACTCGTGGCAGGTGTAGAGGCCTGGAGGTGGCCACTCTCCTGCTGTTGAGCTTCGAACAGCACTGTGCTGACCTGACCGCGCATTTACAAGACCTTGTGCCACAGTGTGCCTTGCTGCTCTCCTGCAACATGCCATGGAGCAGATGGGCAGGGCTCTCCGGGCCATCTCCAGTGTCCTGTGCACAGCTGTGCACCTGGAACCTGCTCTATGCTTAGCTTCTGTGTGGACATGCCATACAGCCTTAGAGAGCAGCCCCTCGCAGCCTGAGGACCATGTGCCCTGCAATGTGGGGAACTACCAATGCTGCAGAGTGGAAGCCTTGAAGAGGGCAGCAGGGATGGAGGCCTGGAGGGCGGGGCTGGTCTGCCCAGGACGGCCCATGTGACCTTTCTCAGGCTCTCTTGCCCTGTCTGTGAAAGAGGAAACAGCCATCTCTAAGTCTAACTCAGCATTTCTTCAATAAAATAAACTCTGGCTTTAATAAAAACCCAAGAAGCAGTACAGCACCCCCCTAGGTTGCCTGGACTCTTGTATAATTGTTCTGTTCAGAGATGTTTGTAGAATTCAGTGGGTAAGTGAGGGAGGCCCGCAGTCCTTCTGTGTTTAAGTTTTTAAGTTCTATGGGACTGTCGATAGATACTGAAGTGTTGGTATCTGTCTAATACTGATATTGAAGTGAAGTTGGTCAGACTTCAAAAACTTGTGTTCTGCTGCTTCCATTAGTCACACTTTTGATTCCTACATGCTGTGAAGATGCTAAGAACTTCAAAACACCACAATAAAGTGTTTTCCCCAGAAAAAAAAAATTAAAAAAAGGGCTGAGACTGAGGCTCAGTGGTTAAGTGCCCTTGAGTAAAATCCCTGGTACAAAAAAAAAATTATATACCCCCCCACACACATACACACATATACACACATAAACATACACATACATACACACACATATATGTATACACAAGTACAAATATATATACATACATATGTATATATATATATATATATATGCACATATGTGTGTATGTGTGTGTGTGT